GGAACGCCTGCTACAAGAGGCTGGCTTGCAGAGGAGGGTTTTAAGTTGTGCAGACTTCTGATGAGCAGAGCCACATGCACAGAGAGAGTTTCAAACCGGTCTGGGACAGCCATCCCACCAGCAAGCTCCTAGTCTTGCTAGGCCACTATGGCCATGTACTTCACATGGCTAGCCATCATGCTGATTTTGGGATAAGGAGGGTGGAGCTACACCTTCACTGCCACCTCCACTAAGGGCAAGCACATGGTTTCACCACCATCATAACTTAGGGCAATCAAAGGCACTCACATGATTGGCAGCCATCTTGGTTACAAACAAACATACAGACAAAAAATGCTGTGGTTTCTCCCATGGCCAGCTGCTTTGTTTCTGTCCCACTGTTTTTGGAGCTGCAAATCTGAAGTCTCCTACAGACCCTAAAAGTCCACTGTGCCCCTTCCTACCTCCATTATAAAGTTGCCCATCTGCCCCTATCCTTTCCTGTGGATGAGATTCTCTCTATGAGAACTCAGCCTTACTGACATAAAACCCTAGTACTAGTTCTCTGGCATAGCAGGGCTAAGGCCCTGATTTGCCATGCTATTTGGTTGACAAATCACTAGCCTCATAGTCCATTTTCATTTCCCCATTCTCATTAGCAGGAATGGCTTCCTCATATTCTTTCCTTTTAGGGAAACATCTGGGTCCTACACCTATATTTGCCCTACTCATATGTGTAATATCCAATAACACTAAGAGCGATCTGTGAAATAAAAAACAGTTCCCTATTTCTCTTTTCTCAAAGTCTTGTCTGTTTCTCTCTACCTGCTCTTTCACTAAATATACCCTCGGTTTTATTTTTATACTCTCTTTTTATATATATATTTCTTTTTTATTTAACTTTTATTAATTACACTTTATTCATTTTGTATCCCCCCATAAGCCCCTCCCTCCTCCCCTCCCGGTCCCACCCTCCCCCCTACTCTCAAAAAAATCTTAAAATTAAACTGTAAACCTTAAGGTCACCACATGGTATGAATAATTTTAATCCTCCTTTTTAGACAAGGACACCAACAAGTCTCATTTAAATTGGTATGGATTTTTATAAAAATTCAAAGTTACATTTTATAATATATATGATTCAACCCTGGTTCAAAATAATTTTTATATAATGCTAAAATTTCAAAGTTATAAAGGTCCATTTAAATTAAGCTAATTTAAAATGTACATCTAACTGCCTATGTCTTTATCAATTCCTAAATTAACAAATGCTGTTTCTCCTGCCATGAGCTGCCTAGGATCCAGGTTCAACACTAGGCTTTCTGGCTAATAGGTTTGCTATAATAAATTCAAATGTAATTTTAAAATTGCGTTATACTGTTCTACTATATTTTTGGCTTTAAAACTCATAACTAAGGAGTTACTCTGAAAAAGTTTTACTAATATTCTAAATTAAGATCTATTAATTCTAGAGGCATTTATTTATGTTAAAACTTGATCAGTGTGCTATATCTTCACTAAAATTGGTAATATTATTAATCTATAGTATAGCCTTAGACTTTAAAAGCTATGAACTTTTTATATACTAAATCATACAGAAAACTGTCTTGCTCTCACTTAAATGGACTATATTTATGACTTTTAAGGCTCCAACTTAACAAGGACAAAACTTAAAGTCCTAGTATTTGATGGTTAATGAATGCACGTTAATAGAACAGTCAATCTTCTCTTAGATGATCAAGTCCTCTAACATGTCCAAAATTATATTTATAGTCCTACAGATACAAATCTGGCCTCATTGCCATCTTTAATAAACAGCTGAGGATGGTCCTTAAGTCACCATATAGGAGCTGGTAAAAATAATAAGAGAGGAGCCTTCCCTACAGGCTTATATACAGCATAAACTATGCTCCAGACCTTGGCTGCTGCTCTGAAGCTGATGGCATTCCTGCACAGAAAACAAGAGGTCTGCAATGCCCCATCCTGCCACAGTATAGCCAAAAGTCAATTTTGCCAGGTAACTGTTTCAAATGCAGCCAAATAGGGCACTGGTCCCGATTTGGTTAACAAGCCATGGCCGCCTGCTAGCAGACTGGCCTCTGGAAATCAAAATGCTCCCATGCGGGTGTGTCCTTTGTGCCCAGTCCTGGAGGCTCAACCAGCACAGGAGCCACAGACACTTAAGCCTTAGAGCTCCTTGACCTGGTGGAAGACAAATTGATCCTAGATTCAGTGACCTCCACCACCCTCGTCCAGAAGCACAGGGTAACATTGTAGGTCTGTTTTGGACTCACACTCAGGCCCCATAGACATACTGCCAACTTCTGTCTTGGGAGACTTCAGATGCCTTCTCAGCTCTCTTCATATGCAGGAGACCAGGCTTTAAGCCTTCTAGAGCTGTTACTGTCAGGCCTAGACACAATATGCCTTGTTGCCTTTTACCATTCCTTTAGCTAAAGGACAATAAATGTTCATAGAAGTCTCACCTATGTCTCATGGTAAATAACTAGATACAAAGATCTAATAAAAATGTTGTTTGAGGGCCTAAGAAAGTGTTTTAAGGTTGATAAATGCAAGTTATAAAGGTCGCAAGGTCTAAGGTGATTTAAGGTATCCTAAATAGGTAAAAATGCTTAATATTTCCTCCTGTTGCTATGCTACTAGTATATTGACTGTACAGAGCTTTGACTTTTATCAATAGAGCTCTGATTTATTAATCTAACTCTAACACAAAAACATTCCACCATACCACCCACTATCTTGGCTCCCAGCTCAAGATTTTAAATCTCCTTTAAATCTCCATATGCATAATCATACTAACGGTTAAGATCAAGTGAACTTTTATCCCTTCTACTTCATGAAAGTCTTCAGCATTTTCAGAGCTCACCTTAAAGAATGCTTATTCTTTTAACACAAGTGTGTATGTCTCCTGCCTTTCCTACAATGTATATTTCAGTGCAGATTACAATTGTGATGCTAACATGTCTAAAGTTTTATCTCCTTTGTGAAACTTAAAAGTAATTCTTGTAAGCTGCAGGAAATCCACCTGAATCCACCTCTCAGGTCAATTGTGCTCCAGATAAGTACTGCACCTATTGCCTATCTCAGAGGTTGGGATTCCTCCCCTTTCCCTGGATTTGGGACTTCCCTTTCCTCGATATTTGATTGCTAGATGCCTACATCCAACAGCAGTGGTGGGTTGTCACTTCTGGTTGGCACAAATGCTTCCTACTGCTCTTGCTAACCTACATCCAAACCCTTCATCTAGGACTGTCTTCTCCCTTGGGTAAGAATTTTCCCTCTACTGGCATGGTTTCTCTCGCTCCCCCTCTTGCTTGTCTATGAAAATCCTAGTGCTAGGTAAACCGTGTCTGCTACGGGAAACTGTGCCCTTGGTCTCTAGCCAACACTGATGAGCTGTTGGAAGAGATTGTACCAATCTACTGAGTCGAACCTTGCTATTGGAAATCCTTGACAGGTCACTGACTCCTACTTGCCCAATGGAAATAGTTCATTTGTCCATCCCTCCAGATTCTCCTCTAGGATGACTTCTCAAGAATTTTAGATTTCTGTACCTAGTGCCTGCTTTCAGGGCCTCTAATCATACACAGCTCTGTAACCAAACTTGGCCTCAATTTCCTTAGATGACAGATCCAAAGCAAAACCTTTTTAATTACTTTCAGTGATTGGGTAAATGGAGGCTCCCTCCAGTAAATGGAGGTTATCATGTTCAAGTCTCTTTGATCTAAACCTTTCACCTCTGTTTGCTCTCCCAAAAGTTTTAAATGTATACCTAAAGGAATTTTCTCCATAACCTACTTAATTTTGACTCCTGCCTATAAATATATTCCAGTATACTGCCAGACCTAGGAGTTCCTTATATCCACAACAGCACCAAAGCAGCTACCACAAGTGTTCTAGTCTGACCTCACAGAGTTCCATCAAGCTGGACCTGCATTTTCCCTCCCAGGCATGGATGTTCTCATAGACCGTGGACAGCATCAAATCAGCCTGTTCTTCCTGGACTTCGCAGGCATTTCAGCTTTTTGACATCCCCGCAGAGCCCCCAGTGTCAGGAGGAAGTAGCCATAAGAGAGTCTATGTCCATTATTTACTTATTACTAACAAAAGGCTGGAATGATGTGCATCAGACCCAGGACAAGTAGCTTCAGCTTCTCCCAGCAGTCCTCAGTCCCTACCTGTTGCCTCGCGTGGCTGGAAACTGTACTGAAACCTCTACCCTGAACTTTCCAGGGCAGGGACTTCATCTCCTCCTCAACATGTAATCTGGACATTTTGTTGCTATTATTTCTCTCTCTCTTACTCCTTTGCATGGCAAACAAGAGCTGCTTTCAGTGAACCTACATATATATATTTCAACTTAACTTTACATGAGAAGCAGTCCAAGTGCCTCATTTTTAAATTATAGAAAAAGGAAGGAATGTTAGTATTTAGCCAGCCTGCTTCTGGGTTGCCTAGCAATCTATGATGTCATCATGTGTAGTCTGCCCGGTAGCCACACTTAAAAAAAAACAACCCACCACTTTGTAGCTCTCTTGCCCTCTTACTGTCTTGCTCTCTCCCCTTTCTCTGTTGGGGTGCCCCCTCCATTCCCCCTATCATGTCTCCCTCTCTCCTTCTCTATCTCTCTTCATCTCCATCTAATAAACCCCTTTCATAGAAAATATGTTGTGTGCATCATCATTTCATTGGTCCTAACAATGACTACACAGAAAAACTGTCTCTGAAAACAAAACAACAACAAGCATAAACAATTGTCTTTCATGGCATTTCAAAAATAAACAAATCGAAAAGCAAGCCAGGAGAGCAAGATCCCAAAAAGCGATTTCCACTGACCTCACTCTAGCTAAAATATCAGGGAAATTTAAGGACGCTATTCCGGAAAAATGTATCAGAGTTAAGGGGCTTACGCTGAGGCATGTGGGAATTGTAGTTCTGGCACCAGCGGCAGCCAAGATCGCTTCCGCTCACTTGAGGGTCTGCTTCCTGCCAGAGTTCCTGTTGTGGTGAGAACCTCCTATAGAGTTCCGAGGCACTTTCTGACCGCTAGTGCCTCCTGTGTCTACCCTCACGGACCCGAGTCTGTGCGCCAAGGAGAAGCAGATGGCGGGGGCGGAGCCAGGGGAGGCAGCTGGGTCCTCTGTTGCTGGGCTCTGCCAGAGGTGACACTGCTGGGGATTGCTGAGCCATCTCAGCTGTTTATGGAACCCCCAGGAGAGTCTAGTTTCCCATGGGAGAAGCTGTGATGACCGAGGGCCGTGAAGTGGTATGCAACTCCAGGTTTTTGTTTGTTTGTTTTTGCAGTGTGTCCTAAATTTTGGGTTGTTTTGTTTTTCCTTTTATTCATTTCAAGCTATCTTCTAATACTCCTTACAAGTTCTTAAATCCTCTACATGTTATTTAGGAATGTGTGATTTAATTTCCACATTACAAAAACTTTAAAACAAATTTTCATCTGTAATTATTTTGACCCAGGATTTTGCTCTGTAGCTAAGGTTGGTCTCAAACTTAAAATCCTTTTGTCTCTGCCTTCCAAGTGCTGGGCTTGCAATTATATATGATATCACATTTGGTTGTAATTATTTTTATTTTGTTTAACTATAATATAAAAGTAAGTAATTTCAGTATTTTTAAATCATTTTGTGGTGGTTGCTTTGAGACAAAGTCTTATTCTGTATCTCAGGGCTGCTTGGAACTCACTTCTTACCCCAGGCTGGCCTAGACTCATAGAAATTCTCTTTATTATTCCTCCCAACTGTTTTTAGTACAGAGTAGGGCAACCATGATACTCTTTCAATACTTTACAATTTCTTTTTCTTTCTTTTTTTTTTAATTTTTAACAGACTAGGATCAGAAGGAAGGAAAAGAAGAGCTCTCCTACCAGTGGTCTTGGGGAGGGGCATGCGTGGAGAAGGAGGAAGAAATATGGGATTGGGAGGGGAGGAGGGAGGGAACTACAGGGAGATATAAAGCAACTCCAGTTTTTAAATGTGATATTTTTTTTTTCTTTTTGTATTTATTTACTTACTTAGATGGGGGCTGTGCCACAGCTTGTGTATGGGAAAAGTCAGAAGACAACCTGTGGGATTCGGGTCTCTCCTTAAACCATGTGGTGTGCAGAGACTGGAATTCAGGTGGTCAGGCTCAGAGGAAGTCATTTTGACCCGCAGAGCTATCTCCCAAACTTCCATTTCCTTACTAGGGGTTTTGCTTTTGGTTTGTTTTAAGATTTATTTATTATTATTTATACAGCATTCTGCCTGCATGTCTGCCTGCACAACAGAAGAGGGCACTAGATCTCACTATAGATGGTTGTGAGCCAGTATGTGGTTGTTGGGAATTGAACTCAGGACCTTTGGAAAAACAGCGCCGAGTTTAAGTTTGTATTGGTCATTTTCTTCATGCATGCGGGAAAAGAGACTTTGTGGAGTCTCTTGCAGATGAGCATCGTTTACTAGTATTTAAACTTTCTAGAGAGAGAGGCAGGGGTTTCATTCCTCTGCTGAGCCATACTGAACTGCATGAAAGTATGAGGGGATGTGGTTGAGAAGAAAGGCTTGGTTGGAGGAGGAAAAAGAGGATAGTGGAGGATATGTGCTCAAAGTACATTGCATATGTGAAAGTGTAAAAGGGTGAATATATTTTGAAATAGAGGAAGGGGACTGGAGAGAAGTGTCTACTGTTTCTGGGACTCTGTGGAGGACAGGCAGTACTGGTGCTCATTGATAGACATCCTAACCTACTGTGCAAGTTCCAGGCCACTGGAAGACCCTGACTCAAAAACAGTAAGGAAATACTGAACCAAAACAAGACCAAAAACCAGGAGACCAAACTCCAAACTTTGCACCTCCTTGTCTGCTGTCAAAGAACTCTTCACGTCTCCAATTCCTTTCAGCTTAGTTGACTATAACACACTTCTTTCTCCTGGGCTGGATCCACTCTCTATGAACAGCTTTCCTGGCCAGGTATCCCATGCCTCTGGCATCTGTAACCTCTTGTGGTCTGCAAGGGAATCCAGGCTTTGCCTTTACAGCTTTATATAATGGCCTCTCTGGTTCTCCATGAAGGAATGCCCCTGCCACAAGCCTGGCCTCAGTGGCTTTCCTTAGCTACAGGGAATTCCATAATGTCTTACTTGTGTCCTTGACCAGACAACTAAGTGTAGCCACCAGATGACCCAGCACTGCTTCTGCTCTTGTGTGGGATGGTGCTTCCTTCCCACCTCAACCTTAGATTACCATTGTGCCGCTCTCCACCTTGCACAGTTGGCCTCCCATTTCACTCAGTAAAATCACGTTGTTTTCAGTTTTTTTTTGTTTTGTTGTAAAGTCTTGCAGTGTAGCCCAGGCTTACCCAGAAATTTGTGGTCCTCCTGCCTCAGCTTCCCAAGTACTAGTGTGACAGGCTTTGTCCAGTATGCCTCACAGCTACCCCATCTTGCTAGGGCTTTACACTCTAGCTCTGCTGACATCCATTTTTTTTCCTGCTTCTGTCTTTGTGGCTCAGCTGCTGTTACTTGCTTGTCTCTGGCCAGAATGCTCTTCCTTGTGGAGTGTCATGCCCCCTCCCTGGTCCCCTGCATTCCTTTATTCAGGAGTCCTCACAGGCCTCCTCTAAGGGACAGCTTTATATGTGTCTCATACTCACTCTATACATCCTGCCCTTGCTTCTGCTGGTGCCTGAGCACCTCCAGGCACATTACCACAGATTTCATTTTGGTCATGGCTACATACACTAAAATCCCAAGTGTCTGCACACTGTGAGCAAAGGCTCCATAAAGTCCATGGCCCTTGTGCAGCTGCACCCAACTTCTATCCCCAGAAGGCCTTCTGTGTTCCTCACAAAGAGCATCCCCCTCCTGATACAAAACCCTGTTTCCCTATCTCCTTGTTTGTTTATTTGCTTCCCTCACAGGATTTTGACCCTTCCCCACTCTGGGATGTTATTTGGTCCACAAGTGTTTGTGTCTCTGGAGTGCATGTGTCAGACCATCAAAAGTCTCTTCTCAAAGGGATTTATCTTCTTGCCTTGGCTAGGAGAGTTTGTCTTTGAGAAACTTGCTTGTGTTAAAAAGCCACTTTTTTTTTCTTAGCAAGGTTTCCTAAAGGACTTTCTTCCCTGGGATTTGTATCAGTTTTTGTTTTTCTGCAGCAAGTTGGAGGCATTGCTGCTCTGCAGGAGTCTAATCAGGAAGCTGTAAACTGTAATAGAAGTTTTGGTTTCTTTAAATCTCAGTATGTTATATGAATATATTTTTGTTTTAACCCCAAGTGTGGGATTTTAGTTTGGACTTTGGTTTGTGTACAGGTGATAATTGTCTCCTGTAGGGCATGGGCTTTGATAGCTGGTAATGGCTTGCCTTATTCGGCAGGAGAGAGGCCTGATCTAGGTCTCTGAGGATATAAATATGAGAGTCCAGAAAGAGAAGATATGGCATGCGGTGTTAGCATGTACTGAGTGGAAGTTTGGAAAGACCAGAGACAGATGGTGTAGCTGTTTGGAGCAGGTGGACAGAGAGAAATGCTTCATGGCACAGTGGCTAGGAAGAGCCTGCTGCTTTTGTTGTTGACTAAGAATTGGCATAGCCCTACAAGAACCCATAGACCCTAAACAGACGGGAGACATAAGGGGTCTGAGTCCCTCTCCCCACTAACTTTCTCTTTCCTACCTAGGGTTAAAGGGTTGGTGGAAGGGAGATAAAGGCCTAAACTCCCCATAGAAAATAGAGTTTAAAACAAGAGCCACAGTGAGCTTTTGCCTTAGAAAATGTGGTTGCTACCTTAATGATATTAACTAAGAAACCGCTTTGTAATTTTTTTTCTTTCTATGTAAGTTCAGCTCCATGTTGGGCAACAAAATGTTAACAGTTATTTTATAAAACTGTGTTTGTTTCTCGGTTTCTCTCTTAACCCAGCTATCATTTAAATAACTGAGATTCTTTGATATTTGTTAAGTAATGAGATTCACAGCATAATAACTGAGCAGTTATTTCTGTATTCTTAGCCCTCTAAGCTAATATGGATTCTTCCCAGCCTATATCCTAGAGATACCTGCACTTTGTAGCTTTTCCAGCATCAGTTCCTTCTACTTTTTCCCCTGGCTGGAAGGCTGGCAGGAAGTCTAGCCCTATTCTCTTCCCTGCTAGTGATTGGCTGTAAGATGCTTTATTGGCATATCAGTAAACAATTGGGGAGCAATGCTTTCACAACATTGAGAAAGGAGATTCTCAAATCTAGGATTGCAACCAGATATGGGGGCATATACAGAAATCAGCATTTGAATTATACAATAGACTTATGTCTACTAAAGGTCAGTGTTTTGTTTGTGTTTTCCCAAAAGGTACAGAGAAATCTATTTAGGTACCTGTCTGAACCATTAAGCCAAACATGAAAAATGGAGAGACTGACAAAGACAATGGAAAACCAGTCGCTGAACAAGGGGAAGAACACCTGGTCCAGAAAGATAACACCTCTCTGGGTATGCAAGATCCTTGGAGACCAAGAGGAGGACCCCAGATGCAGAGGCATTTGCCGGCACTGAAGACCTGGACTGGCTCCCCCCATAACTTGAGAGTCCTTAATGCCCTAGTGACTCAGGCCAAAAACATGTCCCCAGAAGGGACAGAGACAGAACCTTATATCCTATTTCTGCTTATGTGTGCCATTATTACTGCTAATTCTCAGGCACAGGCTCAGCCTTTGTTGTAGGCCATAGTTAGAACCCCTCCTGTTTCTTATGCCAGTCTCCTGGGATGCTCATTGGCCACTATCTACAGTGACAACCCTAATGTAGATTGTTTGGTTTTAGACATCCTTTGGTCCCTGCCTGCTGCAGGGTGTGGCTTGCATACCCTGCCCTCTACCCTGAGTTTTCTAGTCCAGGGGTTGGGCTTCCCTTCTCCAAGGGGCCTTTTAGTAAATAATCTAGACATTTTGGTTTTCCCTCCCCCCTCTCTCCTGCTCTCCTCTCTGTGTATCTGTCTTTCGTTCTCTCTTCTCTTTACATGCATTTCTCTCCCCCTCCCCTGTTGCTTTCAATAAACCTGTATATATATATATTGTTTTGTCATTAGCTCATTCTGTTATTTCAATCCTTGATGAGTCCTCTCTCTCCAGTTATTCATCTATGTCTTCTCCCTTTCATGGCTTCTTTCATCTAGAGCCTGGTTAGGTTGAATCTGGCCTCCAGAAAGATGCCTGTCCCTCTGATTTTGTCTCTGTGGCCAAAATTATTACAGAAGCTTTTTCCAATTGGGTAGACATTCACCATAAAGGAGAGGAAATCTATGCATTTCCCCTATCAAAAGGTGACCCATTTGGGAATGGACCCATGGTCAGCATTAATGGCACCTTTCCTGTACAATGCCTAAAAGTTTCCCTGACTCCCATCATGATATCTTAGCTAGAAATCTGATATTTATGTGATGATTGTAATCTCTGCGGAGTTTGAGATGTCTGCCCTCAATGGATCCCACAATTCTAAGGAGGTTTGTCTCCCCACTTTCCCATCCTCTACAGTTAGCCTCCCTTACAGCCTTGTGGGTCAGTCCTTCGGAATACTCCCCTTATTTTTTGCAGGATCCAATGCATGACCAAGGTTGGCCACCTGTATCAGTTTGGGGCTTTCAATATATTTGTGGAACATGTTCCTGTTTAAATATCAGACCTTTTGTGACAATGTAGGCAGCTAATTTTTATAGCTCCACCTGTGAAGGAAACAACTCACAGCTTTTGAAGGAGGGCTTCCACTCTTACCAGGACACGTCTTAACCTTGCCTACACAGGACATGCCTGCATCCAGCCACTTTTTTTTTTTCCTGTCATGGTTCTCATACAGTTGATCTGCTCTCAACTGCTCTGAGGTAAACTGTACCTGGGATCATAATTATGGCAACACCTCATTGTTACAACACCCTCCACTCACATGGCTTCCTGTTATTGCTACAAAGGGATGGCAATGGGGGTATGACTTTAAGTAACAACCTCTCTACTGCATTACAAAAACATAAGAGAGACTTTGTTACCTCAATCATAATAGAAGGTATACCATCTGTTTGACCAATATAAACAGGCTGATTTAATTCAGCAGTTTTTTTTTTCTATAATGCAGTGTCTCTCAGCAGCTGTTGTTTTTGCTCATTAGCTTTTAAAAATTTAAAGTTAATAAGGCATTACTTATTCTATATCTGGGAGTCTTTGTTGCCCCTTTTAAAAAGCATTTCTTTTAATGTATGATTAGATTTCTCTACAACTGTTTGTAGTAAAGGATTGTTTGGCACAGCTGTAATATGGTTTATATTTTGTTTTCAAAAAATTGTTTCATTTAACTAGAAATGCAGGTAATGGAGTATGGTTACACGAAGAACAAGTAGGACCCTTATAGTTTCCTTTGTTCTCAAGTGACAGAAAAATCTCTTTTTAAACCTTTGCTGTTAACATGGTGTTTCTTAGGAAATTCTGAAGGTTCTAGCATATTTCCTATCTATAGCTGATTAAATTCATTATAACCATGTGATAGAGAGCCCGTTAGACCCGTATGGGATCCTATATGTGTTATATACAATAGATGATTTCTATTAGTTATCACTCATTGCAGTTGAAGAAATAGTGAAGTTAATTTTGAATCACTACGTTCAGCAGTTTTTATATGCAAAACAGCTCTTTCTGCATATTGAGAGTAACTATATTAAGATATTCATTCAAGCTGAGCTTCGTAGAAAATACCTGTAATCCCAGCACTCAGGGAGGCAGAGGCAGGTGGATCCCTGTGTTTGAGACCAGCGTGGTCTACAAAGTAAGTTCAGGACAGCCTCTCAAAAACAAAAACAGCAACAACAAAAAAGATTGGTGAAAATTAATTACGCCATAAGAATGTCATACAACTGGTATTTTAACTAAAGAACATGAACTTTGAATTATCTTGCTTATTTTTTTCTGACTTATACCCAGCCATTCCAGGCTTGTTTGCATTAGTATAAAATGTTAGAACTTTAGGAATTGGTGTTCTTTTTACTTTCTGGGGAAGAATCCAATTAGTTCTTTTTATAAACTGAAGTCGCTTACTTTTACAGTATTTGTTGTTAATTTCTCACAAACAGTTCCTACAAGGTCTTTGCCAATTTTCATTGATTACCCATAATGACATAATCTCAGCATTAGCATGAGACACTACAATTTCTTTTGGGTCTGTTTCTAGCAATTAACAATTAATTCTTCCTTTTATAATTAAATCAGAAACCATGTGTATATAAGTCTTCAAAATTTTTACTTTACATGAACTCAGTGGCTGGCTCTTTGACCACCCCAACCCCCATCGAGGGAGGAGAAGCCTTGCTAGGCCACAAGAGGAGTACACTGCAGCCAGTCCTGATGAGACCTGATAAGGTAGGGTCAGATGGAAGGGGAGGAGGACCTCCCCTATCAGTGGACTTAGAGAGAGGCAGGGAGGAGATGAGAGAGGGAGGGTAGAATTGGGAGAGAATGAAGGAGGGGGCTACAGCTGGGATACAAAGTAAACTGTAATTAATATAAAAAAATAAAAATTTAATTTAAAAAATTTTACTTTGCATGCTAAGAAGATCCATTCTAAAATACTATCTTCCCTTTGCATAATGAGTCCAGAAGGAAAATTATTTTAAGGCAAGCAAACAAAACAAAATACAGTCCCAACTAAAGTCTCTGGGTTTAGGGGAAGCTTTTCTTTATTAAATTTTTATTTTTTACATTAATTACCGTTTATTCGCTTTGTATTCTAGCTGTAGCTCCCTCCCTCGTTCCCTCCTAATCCCACACTCCCTTATCTCCTCCCATACCCCTCTCCAAGTCCACTGATAGGGGAGATACTCCTCTCCTTCCATCTGACCCTAGCCTATCAGGTCTCATCAGGACTGGCTGTGTTGTTCCCTGTTGCCTGGCAAAGCTGCTCCCTGCTAAGGGGGAGGTGATCAAAGAGCTAGCCACTGAGTTCATGTCAGAGACAGTCTCTGTTCTAGGGGAAGCTTTTAACAGTCAGCAGTATAGAGCCCACCTGACAACAGAACAAACCTAGATATTCCCTGTAGTGTGGACCCTATAGTGATAGACAAGATGTGATCTCTGACTGAAGCCCTTAGAGCAGATGCTGCAGATGTAGGGCCTCTTCCCTGCATGAACCCTCTGGTGCCTGTAGAAGTGTGAGGCATGACAGAAGCCTTACCCACACTGCTGACAAATGTAGGGTTTCTCTCCTGTGTGAACCCCTTGTAATGATCAAACCCCTTAGAGCATGACTAAAGCAAATGTGTTCCCTTTTTCTTCATGTAAAATCTAAGCTAAGATGACAGTTCCATTCTGCAAAAGTGTCAGAAGCCCAAGTTATTTCCATCTTGTTGCTCTGACAATTGTAGTGCAGGCCTCATCTACACTGTCAAAGGTGTCTCATCATATCAACATTGCAGCAAGTAGGAAAGATGATGTGGACACGATCCTCCCCTCTAAGGTATAACCTGGAAGTTGCATGGATATTTGTCATCCAAATTCCATTGACAAATACAAGTGTAAGAAAGGCACGGACGTGTTAATCCTATTCTAGGAAGCTTGTGACAAGATAAAAATCAGACCTATGCTACTCTGAAAGGGAGAAAGTGACAGAGAATATTTCTAGTTTCTGCTGGAGAAATTAGAGTTTGATCTTCTCGAAGAAGATAGAGGGATGTCATACATAAAGTACTACAGCTACAGGTTTATGAGGCAAGGGACCATAAACAGGCCCCAACATCCTGTGTGACCAAGTATCACTCAGCACTGCTCCTACCATTGGTCTCCCTGACAGAAAACCTCTGCCCCCAGTATTAGAGGGTGCAATGCCTAGAAGTATCTGTTTCATCTACAAAATTCAGTCCTACATTTGCAGTGGTGTCTTCTATAGATGGGGAAACTGAATCTTAGGTGCTTCATCATTGATCTTCAGGTCTTTGGACTTAATCTATTAAAAAGGAAAAAAAAAACTACATCAGAATCTGCTGCTTTTGGCTCTTGCTCAGTAGGATAGAAACAAACCATCAGGGAGAGATACTATCTAGTGTCCTCTGTGTGGAAGATGCAGATACACATCATGAGGGTCCTCTAACTAAGACCACAAGCTCAGGATGTGTGGGCCATAATAATATGACAATAGAGGAACTATGGAGCCCTTTTTTTTTTTTTCATTGTGTACTGCATCGCTAGTTACACAGCTTCACTGAGGCTCCCTGTGTTAGAAGACTATTGAAGTTCCCATGAACTCAGGTTGCTGAGAAAAAATCCTCTCATGAGGCAAAAATGGTTGCTGAAGGATATGGTTAACAGGATTCCTTAGCCAGCAACAGTTAGTTGGTTAAACCACAGACACTTTCAAATGAAAATCCAAAATCACTAAATAGACCTTATCAGATTCCCAATATGCATGAGCCAATATTGGGCAAGCTCAGAGTTATGGACACTCCGCTAACCTTAAGAGTGGGCATCTTCCAGGCCAGAAGTAGATTGTTTCAGAATGCTAATGCTCCTACATGGCCCTCAGGTCAAGATTAAACATGTCTGGCAGCAGCAGAATGGCAGAGACCAGAGTGGGGATTACCATGGTTCTTGTCTATAAGTAACAATAGAACAGGGCTTAGCAATGAGTGAATATTCAGTCTGTAAAGCAACTACTGATAGTAAACAAACTTATCAGAAACTCAACTCAAACTAGTTTGAGCAAAAGAAAAAAAAGAATCTGTGGATAACATAATGAAACCACACAAAATTCAGAATTTAAAGATGCAGCTAAAATTGACTTTGAATATTCGAGATTCAAATTTTACATATCTAAAGATTCAGATATCTTGAAGACTTTCTGTGTACCTACGTCTTCATCAGCCCTAGCTCATATGCCAAAGTGCCACAAACTTGGTGGTATCCAGAAGAAACATTAATTTTCCCACAGCTCCAGAGGCTGGGAACGTGTTCCCATGTTTGGTTCTTGATAAGGGTCCCCTTCCCACCTTGCAGATGGGTGCAGATTTATGCCTGCTTGCTCATAAATATACTGTGGGGAA